ATTTTATCTTTTGTATTACTTTAACAAAGTGTAAGAGTTCAATTGCAGCCCAATGTTGATTCCAGAGTCTTTTCAGCTGCCTAACATCGGGCATCTATGTTAAGCTACCCTGTAATTGCGAAAAAGTCTCCACTTACTGTGGAACGAACCGCAGCAGCATCTGTTAACTGATTAACAGCGCCACAAGGCGACAAGTAGCGACACCCCATAAGTGGAGCACGGCGCTCTCTGCTGCAAAAGACGCGCCCAAAACATTCGCAGCACCCGAAGCTGTCACGCTCTTAAGCCAATGCTCTGGCGTACGTAACCCGCACTCTCTCGCTCGCTCTCTTCGTGTCTCTCTCACCTATTGACAGTTGACATCGATGCTCCAGCCGATGCTGAAAGGATACGAGCTACAGCATAAAGCACATGGTGTTCATAACAGCCAGCCGGCAAAGCCAGACAAACTGTTGGCCAAAGAGTTGCAACTGAGCAGAGAGTCGTTGGCAGCGACGTCAGCGCCAACGGCAGCGCAAGCAGATTCGGGGCATTGAGGATGCTCTGATGCTGCTCCGTCGCGTCGACGTCATCGTTGTTGTCGCAGCAGCCAAGCTATATTGGCAGCCGCTAGTTTGTCAGTTGGACTGCAACTTTGGTGTGGCACGGTACAAAGAGCGCGCAGGCGGGAGACGTGTGTGCGTGCGTGCGTGTGTGTGTGTCTGTGTGGTTACGTCGATGGCGACAACCACGACCACTACGACAACGTTGCAACCACAGCGTGGCAAAGAAATAAAAAAAAAAAACATAACAAGCGAGTCCAATTCGAAGCGTGTTGAGGCATGCCAACGAACAAATGGCAAATAAATAAAAATACATGTGTGCACAGCTGCGTCGTATGTGATTGCAAGTGTGTGTGTGTGTGTGTTTGTGTGAAACTATGCATTTATGCAAATCAAGCCGTACGAAAACAATAACAAATGCCTGCACTTGATCGCACAAAGCTCGTAAATATTTCAAAAGGCAACTCAAATTCACATAACGCCTAGATTTAGACGCACAAACACTTCGTCCATGCGTGTGTGTGGCTCTCTGCTGTGTGGGCGTGGGCGTGTGTGCGTGTGCGTGTGCGTGTCTCCTCGCCAGCTAAACATTTATGTATGTATGTACATAAGTGTCCTTTAAGCCAGTCAATGAAATGTTTGTTAATTATGTATGCGTGCACATTACATTGCCATTAAGTAATTAGCTCAGGCTACAAGCTCAACTGCAATTGACGTTTTCCATGTATGTGTGTGTGTGTGTGTGTGTGTGTTTTTGCGTGCTTAGGTATTTTCCCCATGCCGCTACGACATGTTGCTGCGTACATTTTGCTGAACTTAACATTTGAGCTACACTTTGCCTGTCTTGTACACGTGGCGTATGCGCAATGTTTACGTTGCAGCACAATGCAAATCTTATGCAAATTGATATTGCAAAGCTGCTAATGTTCATACATATTTGTGCACACACGAGTAAGTGTGTGTGAGTGTTTATAAGACATTCGAATAATAACTGCCAAAATACTGCTGTCAATTTGTCAAAACCGCTCGCTTTGTAACACATCCTTGCAGATATTTCCGATATACATACGACGAGTATAGTTGGAATACAAGTATAGTGGTATTTAAATTTCAAACTAAGTCGAATTGATGAGCTGAGTAAATCAACCAGGCTTTGGCTACAACAACTTGCTCACAAGTTATTGTCCAATATAAGCAAAACCGTATGTCAGGAAGAACAGAATAAGAACATTTTCAAATTGTTTGTAGTTCTACTTTGCACGTCCATTTTGTATTCACATGTCTGACAGTAGCGTACGAACTACTATATTGTCTGAAGAATTAGAATAAGAGTTAAAGCTAGCCCGATTTAAAGTGACAAATCGCTTTTCTATAGGCGATTATTATTTGTATATCGAATTATTAGGCAGACACTCGTGTATGAAGATAAGCACTCAGTATTTAAATTCTATTTCTATTATTTATAGCTTATGCTTCAAAATCAGCTTAATCAGCGCTTATATGTAGAATAAATTTTCATTAATTAAAAATTATTTGTTTATTTATTTAAATTATTGCATATTTAAAATATAAACTGACTTTTTTATGAAATTTCCAACACAACAGATTAGTGGATCAATCACCAGCTTTCGTTGTAAATATTATCAGTCTAGTCTAAAGGGTATTAGATACCACTCCGCGAACAGCATTATTTTGAAAGGGAGGGGAGGGAAGCAGCCAATATTAAGGTACTGATGCTTGCTGTATCAGTTTCTATAGGTTTATTCAACACAATATGTAAGGACTCAGCTGAGGTGCATGGGAAAACAGGGCTCCCTAATTGATGTATCATTTGAAAGAATTGAGAAATGCCAGCTCTAGAGTGAGTTGATTACAATTAATGACTTTCCGTCTCTTGTGCGAACTGATTCCTTTGAAAACACAATGAATGCTACGCCATTTTATCTGGCTGAGTACAAATTTACGTTTTATTTCACTTTTTGTGTTAAACTCAAGCAAACGTGATTTGTTGTAACCGTCTTCATTGCCGCACCGCCAAATTAAATTAGCCCTACAAACATCAACTGCAATTTAAGCGAATATTTTTACTGCCCACAAAACAAGTTAAGTAAACAGACAACAAACTACCTCAACATGCTGCCCGTTGCCTGCCGGGTTCTGTTCCCCACCATCGCCGTCCTGACTGCCTGCTGTCTATTATTAAAAATGAAATGCCGCGATGATGTTGCGCAACTTTCTCTACGGTAATTTTAATAAACGCGTCAATGAAACCAAAACAATGATGCCAGCAACAACACAAACGGCTGACGGCAGACCTTCAGACGGCAGGGGAACGTGAACATCGAACGGCGAAGGATAGCCAGCTGAGGCAGAGTGTTTGTTGTTGGGTAGGAGGATAAGGATGGGGATGGGGATTTCCATGAGTGGGAGGCGGCTACGAGCGACACAAAAAGAAGCCACAATTTGATTAGAGCATTAAAGGACTTTACGGTAAAGCCTGAAGCGCTACGCCTGCCATAGTCGGAAAGTTAACAGACGGCGGCAGTTGGACACATCAAGTTAAAAATATGCAGGCGGGCAACAACAGGCTCGCCGGACCGCCAGAATGGGACGGCCAACTGACAGACGGCCCAGAGCAGCAGACAAAGTTGCCAAGTTTGTGCACAGTTTCCCGTTTCGTTTTTATTCGTACAAATTTTCAAACTGTCAACATTTAAATAACGCTGACAATGACAATAAACAAATGTAGTGGGCGCTCGACGCAAACTTTAATACAAAAAAAAAAAATTAAAAAAGTAAAATGAAAAAATGTCAAACGAAAACTTTGTAAAAAGTCAAAGCCACGAGCAGCGGGCAACCAGAAAAATACCAATTTACGAGAGCATGTATTAATGGTTACTGGAGTGCTGCACCAACGCAGATTATTCTGGGCTTGCTAAGAGTGATATTTCGATGATTCACTTAATGTTTAATAAAATAAAACCACACATTTAACTTTTAACAAACTAAACATTAAGTAAAGAAATATGTCTCTGTTGGTAAACAGAATCGTTTTGTCAAACAATCCTTAGTTTTCCAATTTGTTTTACAACTCCACCTGCTTGGCTTTAGCAGGGCTGAGCAGACTATAAACTGTATTATATTTTATAAATAAATAATAATGTTGCTTAATAATGTTCAGAGACCATGCAAGCCAGAAACAATTTGATTTGATAATTACAATTACATATAGTTTCTCAACAATATCTTATGAGAGTGAAGAGATACTTGTATATACAAGTAGGTATAAGTCAGAATAAAATTCGCTCTAAAATTATCTGCATTTGTCTTCCAATAGTTATATTGAAATGAATCGAAAGGGGCCAAAATATATTATAACTTTCATTTCTCAGATTGTACCCTCCAGTTAAAATATAAACTTGGCGAAATGACAATAGGTCTGACACAACTATATACTTGCCTATACCTATTATGAATTTCTTGAAACTCATTCTTATAACAGACGTTCACTAAATAAGTGATTACATAAGAGCAATTGTTTTCATCCGATAACCTTGAATTCATTGTCGATTTAGACTTAAATTTCCAACGAAAACTTGTATTGTAGGGCAACATGTTACTGTCAGTGTTTTATTTAATTACCTAGTAGCTTACTTGATATCTAGCTATCATAACAGAGGTTCACTCAATAAGTGATAACCTTGAATTCATTGTCCATTTAGACTTAAATTTCAAACGAAAACTTGTATTGTTGTAGGGCAACATGTTACTGTCAGTGTTTTATTTAGTTACCTACTAGTTTACTTGATATCTAGCTATCAGAAGTAAGCTTTTCGCTTTCCACAATCAGCTGTCGCTGGCAGGTGGCAGTACTTTCTATATATATATAGTACAGTGAAAACTCTCTTGGCCAGACACTCACGGTCGGCCGATTTTTGTCCGCCCAAGGGGAGTGTCCGCTTAAGGGGTTACTTAAATACTTTATACACCGATCGCTTGTTTTAGAAAAAGAGTCCGCCGAAGAGAGGGTCCGGATAAAAGAGGTGTCCATTAAGGGAGTTTTCACTGTGCATAGTTCTATAGGACTGTCTTTCTTCATACTGACAATTAAGAAAAGCTTATGCATTATTGGGTTGGAATATAAGCTGATCAAGTGCCACGACATGTCTAACCAACATATGTATTTACTTTGCACTCAATTACTCCCGAATTAAATGGTTGAAATAATGTATGCAACGCTCTCTTGAAAACATAGAAGTATGTGCGAGTGTCTTTTTCTTTTCAAATTGACTGGCTTTTAAAAATAAACTTTAAGCATATCGATAGAACTTATGACATATTTCAAAACATACAGCACATTGACCTATTGACCTGCTGTCGATGGCATTTATCGACAACGACGTGAGACTCTATTTAATAAGCGTCAACTTAAAGTGTTATGTACAAGAGAAAAAGTATAACCGACTATAGAAACATGAAGGCAACTTTTTGAAGGCAACAACACTTCCGAGTGTCGACTAGGATGGATTACGGCTGCTGGTTGCTGCAGCTCCTCCTGCTGCACACACTTTTGGGTGAGTAAGTTTTGGCCATGCATATTGTGTGAACTTTAAGCTGTACACCATGGGGCTTAAGGGGGAGGAGGGAGCAGAGAGTGATAGAGGGGGAGTGCCTGCTCTGGTCTGCTCCCTGTTCTGCCCTTGGCTCGGCTGTAATAATAATGAAAATATTTGAAACTTTTCATTTTATTGCCTTTTGCTTTTAATCCTTTTATGCCACAACCTTTTTTTACGACAGCGGCGACGACGACGTTGGCAACTTTGCGGTTGTGCCACAAACACCTACATATATAGACACACGCACACACACACACACACACCTATACATGCAAGCATTTGCGCGAAGAGAGCACTACGTGCTTGCCCCTCAGCAATACCCATGAAAAGTCATTTAGGCATTTCCGTTTCCGCTTTGTGCTTTTGTGCACTTGCCTGCTACTGTTAGTGTTATTATGATTCCTGTTGTTGTTGTTGTTGCTATTGTTGTGACCCAAACAGAAAATTAGCATAGCTGTAAATGTTTTTAGGTTTGGAGCTGGAAGACTGGGCGACTGGGCAACTGGGCGGCTGGGCAGCTGGAGCGTGTGTGGCGCTGACCTCGACCGCAGAAATTTATGGAAATTTTATGCGGCAAATTGTTTTTTAAATGTATTTTTAATTATTGTTGCCATCCACAGCAAACTTGAGCAGACAAAAGAAAATTGACCATTAAAATCATTTCAATTATCTACCTTTATTTGTGCTTATGGCCGCCAGATAAGACTGTAAGGAGCAGCCTCCTACGTTGCGTATACGCAATGTTGCGACTTTATTGCCAACAAATGAAAATAAATTTGTTGAGTGGCGCAACTTAAATTGAAACAAGATAGAACGCTACAGTCGAGCAAGCCCGACAGTAAAATAGCCTGTACTCTCCACAAAAAGGAAAAAATTAAAAAAAAAAAAAAATTTTTTAAATTAAATTATTAAAAAAAATGAATGAATTAATTAATTAAAATAATTAATTAAATTAAATTAGAATACATGTTTATGTTCAGTTTAAACAGCATACATTTACATCACGTACCTATGCGTGTTTATATGCGTGTATGTATGCAGCACAAAGTTAAACCAAAGCAGCAACAACAACAACAGCTGCGGGCAGCGCTGCCGACAGAGCTGCAGGCAGCGCATGAGCAGCGATTTTACTTATGGCTATAACTTTCTTCAGAATTGACCTATCATGATGAAATTTGGCACACGGACACATTAGTACTAACTGGATGTACCTACCAAAATTGATTTCAAAATTCCGAGAATTACGGAAGTTATAAGAAAAAATACGAATTGCGGGGGAGTGGGGGGGTGTATCAGAAAAAATAAACAAACTCGTTCTGCCTAGGGCTTATAGGAACCTTGATACCAATTTTGGTTATCCTAGCTCTTGTACTTACTGAGATCCTTGCGCTCATACAGACAGACGGACAGACGGACAGACGGACAGACGGTCAGACGGACAGACGGACAGACGGACAGACGGACATGGCTATATCGACTCGTCTTCTCATCCTGATCAAGAATATATATACTTTGTGGGGTCTGCCACGCCTCCTTCTGTGTGTTACATACATGCGCACAAAACTAGTATAGCCTTTCACCCTTTGGGTACAGGCTATAAAAAGAAGCAACTAACCGAAATGCATTAGTAATTGGATTTCACTTCACTTGGCATTCGTTCACTGTCGCCGCTTCTTGTTCTGCAGCGTCTTTTGCCATTCCCTTGCAATTTATACCGAAACAAAGCTGACAGCGCAAAATTATACAACAATGGAAGCTGTGACATTGTCCGACGCAGACACAACAGCAACAGCAACACTAGACCGACACTAGACCAACACCACCAGCAGCTAAAATAAATGCGAACTGTGGAAAATGATGCAGAAAAAACCAAAAACGCATGCATGAAAATACAAAACGGCAAAAGCAAATGGCGCACATCATTCACACAGTTCAAGTTCTGTTTTGTTCCCTGCTCTGCTCGCATTTTGATATGACCGGGCTAAGCGAAATGAGAAGAAGCAGCAGTATAGTGCATATATTAGATGATTGTACAGTAAATAGTGTTGAAGAGAAAAACCTAAAAATCAAGAGTTGAATAGATAGACGGTAGATTGGTTCCAGAAACAACCGGGCAAAAAAAGACATTGATCATATGCAAAAATAGGTAATTGGTTTCCTATCTCTAAAGAAAAATATATGAAATTTTCAATTTGCAAACCGTGTTATATCAAAATCGTGTAAAAACAGAATTAGGTGTACCACTTATTTGGGAAAAAATGAAAACAACTGAGTTGTGTGTTAGCTACGCACAATTTATATGTGAATTTATTGTGTCCTCTTCTTGGAGGATACATTTCTTTAGCTCTTGGTTATCCACTGCTGTGATCAGCGCTTTTGTTGGTGGGCAATAATCGAGTGCTTGTCCAGCATATTGATAAGCTGGCAGGAATCTGCTAGCGTTTCTTGCAACATAGTCCCTGCTTTTGAAGCTTTTGTCTGACCTTATCTTTATTATGATATTTGCACACCAGCAATATCTTTATTGCTAGCCGCAACAGAAACCATTAATATAGATTGTGAAAAATATAATTCCAACAACTGCCGCGCTTTTGCATTACAAAAAACAAGTAAAAAAGCTAAAGTTGGGTGTTCCGACTTTGAAATACTCTGTACATATGTTTAGAATAATTATAGAAATTAAAAAAATAAATAAAAATAAAGAAAACAAAAAAATAAAATAAACTCGTTTAGCGTACACACATAAGGCATCTTGGTGTCTCTAGCTCTTATAGTCTCTGAGATCCAGGTGTTCATACGGACAAACAGATAGACATAGATCGACTCGTCTTGTCATGCTGATCAAGAATATATATACTTTGTGGGCTCTGCCACGCCTTCTGCCTGTTACATTTTTCAGCTCGCGCAAGCCCAATATACTCTTGTACATTTCATGTAAAGAGTATAATAAACGCTTACAATATTATGGATTATGTAGAATAGAAATCCCCAGCAACGCGTGTCTGTCACATTGCTATAAATACCCGCTTAACATTGGATCGCAGTCATTCAGTTTTGTGTTGAGCACTAACCCAGTCGATATGAGAGGAACCATCTGGCTACTGGTCTTGGTGGGCTTTCTGGCCTATGCCAGCGTTGTTCGGGCTGAATGTTGTCGTACTTCCCTAACAATCAGCTATAAAATAGATGGCCAGCCGTGCGGTGCTGCTGGAGGAAGAGGGTCTGGCGATCACTGCACAATCACCGTCTGTGCTGACGGAAGGCCGCAGGTGGGCACATTTTGCGGACGCGGAAGTTGCAATCTCTTTGGATGCGCCTGCCAAGGTGGCTGTCTCGGTGGCGACTTTGAAAAGAGTTTCCTAGCAAACAATGGGCAATATCATATTGAAATTTTGGGCCAGAACTATAATACGTAAAACAACCTGTTTGCCACATTGCAAACAGATTTAATGTAGTAGTTTCAAAACTTTGTGAAGCATTATAAAAATGTGAGTTGAAAATAATGAAAAATGTATTTGGTAATGGATAAATAACAATTTCTCATCATATATATTTGTATATACAAGTATATGCAACTTTCTTCCCTTAAAGTCCTTTAATAATTCATGATGAAATAGTGCCCATACAGTGTTGGCAGTGCAGCTTATAAAGTTGTTTCCAGGCTCCATCTACTGTATACTTGTCTCTTAGCAACAACCTCCTAGACAAGGGTCTATCACTTTTTAGGTCTCAGCCGCATGACAGCTTCGTCGGCTTGGCGTCCATTTACATAAACTAAACATAAATGTGACAATTCCATGGCGCAATCGTCTGGTGTTACGGGTGCGCGTTAAAGGATTTCGCACAAAGCGTCGACGAAGGCATAACAATTTGCCCGGCTGCGACGTGCTCATGTTCTGGTGTGACGCTATATTTTATTTGCACTCTTCTAAAATTTATAGACGCTTTTAAAATTTAGTGCAAACAAGCAGGCACTCGATGTCTGTCCGTACACAGTCAAGGACATGTGCTAAGAAAATAAATATTTGGCTACAAGGGCGGCCCCCGGGCTAGTCTCTCTCGCGCGAGTAAGCCAAGTGCCATAAAGTTTATTTAAACAAATTGCCGATTTTATAAGTGTCTTCAATTCTAGTAAGTGTGCGTTATGACGACACTCCCAAGGCGCAACCGCCAGCAGGCAGTACAGTCAGTAAATTACGAGTGTGTGTATGTTTACTTGGAAGTTGTCAAGAGGCGGGCAATCAATATGGCAAGCAAAGATGGCTACATCCCAGAGACAGAGACATAGAGACAGAAACAGGCTTCATGTTTGAACAAGCAGCAGCAGAAATCGGAGCAGATGGCAGCAGTCTCAACTGTCTTGTGGCCAAAATTGACACTAATGTGTCGCACTGAACCGACGCTGAACTCTGAGATGAATCCTACTAGAGCAGCAATGAGCCCCGAGCTAAGCTTTAGTTTTGCCAGCGTGTCTCATTGAATGCCTCAAATCTAGTTTAAACTTGTACCAGTCAGGAGCTTTCGATTTGCATACTTCTAGCCGTAGCTGCATACCAAATGGGATTCAAACACACAGCAACAACAACAGCCTCGGCAACAACAAAAAGCCCACCACCAGTGCTGGAATCTCAGCTCAGCACTCGCTGCATAGTTTGCCAGCCATCGCTTTTTTCAGCTTTCGCTTTTTGTTGTTGCTGCTATTGTTGTTGTTGTTGCTGTTTTGTGTGCCATTTTGCTGCTCAATTTTAGTGCTGGCTGCTGCTTCTTTTTGTTAGCCTGCGCTATGGTGAGATTAGCATCTTTATTTGTGTTTGTTTGCCGCAGCAGTCAAGCACGCCAAGTCGAGCCAAACAAACAAACAAACAAACAAGCGCCACCAACAACGCCCCCCTCCTCCCTCTCTCGGCCCATTCTCCCACCACGTGCCATGTCTGGCTTTAGGAAGGCGGTCGGACCAACGTTCGAGCCATGCTTCGCATTTATATGCAAATTATAGACGCTGTTCACTCTCTTTCTCGCTCTCTTTGTACAGATTTGTCTGCTCTGGCGTTTATGGCAAATAAAGGAATAAAAAGTAAGCCGAAGAGACTGCGTTGGTCGCATGTTTAAAGCGGATTTCAAACAGGACACAATTTGTATGCTGCCTACTTTTTGGGGCCATCTCTTTTGCTGTCCACTTAGCACTCCAGACATTAGCAGACTGCCTGGTTGGATTTTGTCTTGCTTTTGCTTTAAAACTTCGCCTTCCATTAAGAACTCTTGCCAGTAAGCCACAATTATTCACGAGTATATTGTAATCTGTCAATTTCATGGTACTTTCGAATCGGAATGTATAGCAAGTGTTATTAAGTAGTTCCCCCAAAAATAATAATCACAATAACTATACAAAAAGAACCTATTTATTGCCGAATTCAAATAATGTTAACAATCATAAAGAATGAAGTTTCTTTAGCTAACTTTGTTTTTTAACCACTGTGCGATTGCCTGCTCTTGTTGCTGCTGTCTGCCTGCTGTACTCGTACATCTATTTACATACTTGTACATCGTAAATAAGTGCGGAGGAAAGTTCACTCAAGTGCGTTGATTGCCGTGAAAAAGTTTTTGCGTTGTATTTCATGTACTTATTTTTATTATTTACATACACAGAGCACACACACACACACACACTTGCAAGTACTCACACAGGGATAAGGCAACCAGCAACGAGCAGCCAACTGTCATGCCGCACAGGTGAACTTTTGCTAGGCTGCCTTCCTTGCAGAGGACGAGTGTATCTGCGTCTGTATGTGTGTTCGCGTGCGTGTGTGTGTGTGTGTGTGTTTGTTTGTCTGCCTGTCATTAAGTTGCGGTTTCTCATGCCATTTGCAAATGTGCTTTGTCGCTGTTTGATCCTGCAGCTGCTGCTCTGTCAGTTTCCTCTCCCTCTACCCTGCGCTTAAGACAATTGTTTGCTGCTGCCAGACACTTGTTTGTTTATCCTGCAGACAACTTTGAACAACTTTATATGCATAGTTTGTTTGTCATTGCAACAACAATTACAAAGAAACACATCAAGTGCATGTACAGATATCCATCTGCCAGCTTGAACGGCTTTACATGCTCGTTGTACAAGTATGTCTGCAATCTGTCATCAGTCAATTGCAAAATTAGTCCAAAACATCATTCTAACTTAAGCTAATAGACAACAACAGAATAGCATTATATATTACGTATCGCCAAAGCCACACTTTAAAGTCAATAATTGAGTAGGTAGAAACAAGTCTGCGACTGCAAGCCGCAACAAATTAAAGAGATGACTAACAACATGTTGGGAAATGCGAAAATATGCCAACTTGAAATGGCGTTGCTGCTACACATTATCGCAGCAGCCGTTGCTGCTGGAGTTGCTGCACAACTCGAGCTATTTCAACTGTAAACTGCAACAAATTAAATTCACAAGTAGTGGCAACAGTCGCTGTTGTTGTTGCTGTTGCTATTGCTGTTGCTGCTAACGCGATTTTCACCCGCCAAAAATGTGCAAAATGGCAAACGGCAGGGGAGTTGCAGCTCGAGCTCGAATAACGGGAAGCAGAAAAATTATGCAGGCAACACAAGTTGTCGCCATTGCTATTTGGCATGTCAACGTCCCTTCGTCCCTTTGTCCCTTTGTCTGTTTGTTGTTGTTGTTGTTGTTGCCACTAAATTGCTGCTTATCATCAAGTAGCACAGTACTACAATTTCAGATTCGTCGTCGCCAGGATTATGGAAATTTGCCACAACTTTCGCTCAACAGCATTACAGACAGGCAGACACACAGACAAACAAACAAACTGCAATAAACGGGAGCGCGACCAACAGCGCTTAGTGGAATAGTTGCGGCACAAAAAACAGGCACTTGCAGCAGCAGCAGCAGCAACAAAAACCCATTGCAACTAATGATATTAACCATTTTTTTCCTGCATCTCGTTACGTCTGTGGGAATCCTTCCTAAAAACGGTCTTGTTGTCTGCGCCACTTAAAAACGTTCAGCAAATTGTAAAAACTCGCGTTTGTCGGGCCAAACGATTAGCCCTACAGTCGTTCATCCTTGTTGTATTTACTGTTGTTGTTTTTGTTGTTGCTGTCGTCTCATTCTTACAAGCTTATTAAATTGCTAACTGTGCGTCTGTTTTATGTACAAGTACTATAGTTCCGTTTTGGCGTCTATCGTCTGTCTGGCTGTCGAACTCTAACGATTTTTGGGCCTTAGAGGGCCTGTTGGGCTTTGAGGCCATGAATTGCACAAACAGATAGCATGAATAATCATTTTTGGGCTTTGATACCATGAATTACACAAATAAGTAGCATTAATAATAAAATACAGAAGTAATTAAAACCGCAATATATTGAAAAATTGCTGTCTACTGAGAGAATAAACCTTGTTAGTCCGCTTTGTCTTTTATGGCTTTTAAAATGTCTGGAAAACAATTATTGACCAATTATTATTTATTATTCTGATGTGATTTGATGTGTGCCGCTGATATGTGAATTTCAACCTTCATATTTCTAATATCATCAACAAAGCTAAGGGTGTTCTTGGTTTTATGAAATGATGGTCAAAAGTATTAAATGGCCCCTAGTACGGCCAGTGCTAGAATACTGCTCATGGGTTTGGTGTCCTTCATATAAATTGCATCAGGACCTCATGGAACAAATAACTCTGATTACTGTCTGCTGTGAATCGTTTCACAAATAAAACCTTCCCCATCATCGATATTAGGTATTTTCGTAATTTCTATAGACTTATTTATACTTAAGTTTTATTTAGTTTAAGTTCTCTATTGTATTGATTTTTTTTACATCGATAGCTTTGTTTAAGTTTTATTTAGTTTAAGTTCTCTATTGTATTGATTTTTTTTTACATCGATAGCTTTGTTTATCAATAAAGAAAATAAATAAATAAAATAATAAATCGCGGCATAGCTAGACGTTTCACAAATAAAACCTTCCCCACCATCGATATTAGGTATTTTTGTAATTTCTATAGACTTATTTATACTTAAGTTTTATTTAGTTTAAATTCTCTATTGTATTGATTTTTTTTACATCGATAGCTTTGTTTGTCGAGAAAGGAAATAAATAAATAAAATAATAAATAAATTTAAAAAAAAAACAAATAAATAAAATAATAAATAAAGAAAATAACAAATAAATAAAATTATACTCGTAAATAAACAAAAACAAACGGGCAGCATTTGTATATCGATTTATATTTCCACGCTGATCATATATACATGAGTTATATACATGACATAACATGAGGACTGCCACGCATCCCACACCTCTTCACCATTCTCGTATATGCCATAAATATTGCACATATTATTTATAAAATCTCTCTCGAGTCAAATGCGTTTTTAGAGTCTCCCGAAGCTTTATTTAAAGTCCAATATTTGCTTTAAATTTGCATTTCTTGCTCGTTTTTGTTGCTTTATGTATGTATTTTCATGACACATCTCATCATTTTATCTGACGCTTTCTATCTCTGCCACCAAATACAAAGCTGCACGGCTGACTCGCCGCACTCCACGTTTACACAAATATATAACCAGCTCTCGGTTCGCCTCCTCTCTTTGCAGTGATGCGTCGCATTCAGTGTCTACTTGTGACTGACATCAATGTGCCACAAATTGTTGATTTTCGTGATAACGTGACATTATCCTGCAGCTATGACATAAGTGGTCACACGTTAAATTCGGTTAAGTGGTACAAAAACAACATGGAGTTTTTTAGGTAAGTATGCAGACTCGCACACAAATGCACACATAAGAGGCAGGCGTCCCTCTGACTGGGAATATGAGTATGGGTGTGTGGGTGTGTGTGTGTGTGTGTGGATGTGTGTTAGCTCCGGTGTTACGTTGTGGCGCTGTTTGCTCATAATTTATGATATTTATTTCGGGTTTTTTCCGATGCTGCGCAACTGTCAAATTCATGGAAATCTCTGCCATGGCTAGAAACGCGGCCCTGGGCGAGGATGAGGTTGGCATATTTATGAATTACACGCAACCACACATACACAAATATATATACATATACATACGCCTATGCGTGTATTCTTACATGCTACATAAATAAACGCCCATCTATTCAGAAACATACGTATGTTCTTTGTCTGCCGCCACTTACTTTCTTGCTCAATTAATTATTTAATAAATTAATTTGTTTTGCTTCGTTTATGCTGCGCAAATTAATTTTAATGCCTTGCCATACACACAAGACTGCCACATATGCAAGGACATTAAATGGCTGGCTCCCGTTCCTTGTTACGGTTGACACTACAGTGGCTTTAACTCTGGCTTTTGGGTTGCCTTTGCTTTGGTTTTGGTCTCACAAACACCGCCGGCCACTTGAATAGAAACATTGCCATTGCTTCCCATACAACTAATTTAATTCGAGCAATTCAAGGTGTCTTGAAGCTTAAACAAATTGTCAAATAGATTCCCATACAACTAATTTACTTCGAGCAATTCAAAGTGTTTTGAAGCTTTGAAAAAATTAAACAAATTGTCAAATAGATTCATTGATTTAATTTAAGTGTAAGCTTGCTCATACAAATAGATGCTCAGACAAATCGTTCCCGTTTACACTCACAAAAAAACTAATTTTTATTTATTAATCAAAGTGATTAAGGCTTAGAGTATTACATGTATGTTTTCGACAGAATTTCAAACCGACTTTTTATGCGTTCTCATTTCACTCTTTGCTTCCCTGATGTCTTGTTGTCCATCTCTGTGAACAAATAGCAAAATATTTGCATACACATTTCTGCTATTTCGGAGAAAATGAATTATCAATATTTCTATGGCCAACGAAAACGTTGTGTTCTTGATTGTATATTAAATATTTACTTATGTGGCTGTTAGTTATCTGTTATTCAGATTCAGATTCCATCAACTCAAAATTAGCAGTAAGGCTTTCTGCTTCTTTTATTAAAATTGCCAATCAGTGCTCAGTAAGCGCCTATTCTCGGCAATAATAGACAGATAATGTGTCCTTTTCTTATAGATAAGTCTGTTATGAGATTACCATTTGCAACCAGATTAAAGCTTAAGAGACTCTGCTGAATAATCTTCCAGTTTAGATAATTTTCAATACTTTATGGGTTTATCGATTTTTGTGTGTTTATTTGTACTATTCTACATACATACGAGTACATAAGTCTACTCTTGGTTTATACCCATCGCTATTCCGCTTTACAGTGCAAGATCATGGATAGAGAATATTGAAAGCATATACATCGAATAGTTGTATGTAATGATCCATCATCCAAAGACATTTTCGAGGTTTAGGATTGTTGCTTCTGAAATTCATTCCCTATGTTTACAATTTTATTTGTCGACATAAAATAAATAATTATATACACAACGAGTATTCCAACAATTATACAAGTATAGTAACTATCTGCTTGTTCACAAATATTAAGTTTTGCCAAGAATGCTCTTAAAAGTGATGATGTGAAGGTTTAGAAAAAAAGATATACTAATAGCAGTAAAGAAGAAGAATAAACTTAGAAATGCATGATGGTAAGCAGCCTAACAGTTGATGACATTATAACAAAACCTAGAGAACCCTAAAACGCTGCCAATTCTTTGAAAAACATAGTAAGCTATTTATGCTATCCTTATTTATTTTAACTAAGCGATTGTGCTTGCATTTTGCTTTGCTAATCACAACACATAATACGACAATATCATTGACTGTTACAGGTGTCCTTATTTATGTGTTCGCTTGTGTCCTTTTCGTCAAAGCAGAAGTTCAAGTTTAACGCTCTGAGCTGCATTAATTATTAATGCACGAGTTCGTTTACACTTTGGAAGGCGACAACAGATTGCCCGCAATTAATTGGCCAAACGAGCCACATTTTCAAACATTAGGCCACATTTATTTTTGGGCAATCTACCCCGTTCGACTCATTTGTGGCTAGCCAGTGAGCAAAATGTTTATTAAATACCCATTTGACCTCAAGTCGACCAAGTTTTGAGTGGAAAATGTTGTGTGTTGTTGCTGCTGCTGCCTCTTCTTCTTCTGATGTTGCTAGCAAAGCAAATGCAATCAGTTTGTGGCAAGCTCATAATTTTGCACTGCATTACGTGTATTTGCCTTGCACTTAGGCAAAGGCGTATGGAATGTGGCGCGTGGCGTGTGGCATGCGGCAGGCCAGGAGGTTGCAGTTTCAGGGCGCGTTTGGCTCTACTGCAGCGTAATGAAAAATCTCAAGAGACTGCTGCGCGTTTTGCTTAATTAAAAATGAGCAGCATTGCAAAAGATATGAGCATACACACACACCCACACACACACACACACACACACACACACACACACACACACACACACACACACACACACAGCATCCCTCAACCCCATTGGCATTGCTTGACTGAGGGCGTGTGCTCAGCGAAACTTTTAATTAGACAGCAGTAGCAGCAGCAGCAACAGCAACAGCAGCAGCAGCAGAGACGCCATCAGCAGAGCGTTGATGCCACTTGAATGGTAAACGAATGGCAATGGCAATTGCAATTTTACTTTGCATACAAATTAAAGTAAACAGGAAAAGTTCAAGCGAAAGTAAACATGGCAGGAAGAAATATTTCGGCACTATACTTGTACAACAAGTGGCAGCCAGCGATTTAAGTGGCTGTTAAAGTCATCCTCCAACCACTTCGATACACACCCACCACCCGCAAACAAATCTTTGACTCTAATACGCTCGAAATTCTTTGAAACGTGCCGGAGCTATACGTACTACAACAAAAAAAACTTATACAAGACTCTTCTGTTTATGTTCCTTATCAAATTTGTTGATTTGCCGCAAGAATGTGCCGTGCCTCAACCCCCACCTCCATATCCTGGGGCCAAGCCGCAAATAATGCGACCTACACACACACACCATACAGCCATTAACAAGTTGGGCACAACAAAGCGACTTATCGATATTACAACAGCCGCTTGGGCCTACACTTTTGTGGCCATTTTATTTATGTGTCGGAGTCCGGGTCGGGGTCGGGTCGCATGGCCACTTTTTTCCTATCTCCCACACAAAGACAAGCTTTTTTCAGCTTCAACACTTTGCTTGTTGTTGATTTGAGCATTCGTGTATTTTTAGGGATTAATGAGCATCAATCCAAATACAAAAAATAAACCAAAGTGCACAATGCACAGTGGCCGCTGGATCTAATAAATGGTGTGTCTTCCAGTCTATTTTCAAATATTTCTTATTTCTTTTCAACTCAATAATCATTTGCAAAGCACATTTAACTAGTATTAGTTACTGGAGCCACTATTGAATAGATATTACATTTTCTTCTGATGCCACCAGAAATGGTTGAAAGCAGCATTTTAAAGGAATAACATAGGTTTTTAATAAACAAAATACTTCATATACATATCTACTGTTGGAGCACTGGCCTTAAATGTAGATAAAATATATATATAAGCAGCTGGTACACACTAGTCGGCAGATCTCTGTAGGCGAGGTTCGTCAGTTGTTGCAGTTCAAGGGTCGATTAAAAGCAGCAGTCGTAGAAACCATTTTGAGAAGATCTATAGAATACCGACGCACATCTATAGACTGACAACTCAATTCTTCAGTCATGTCAACGACATATCTTTAGATTACTCTTCAAAAGAGTTACGTGTAAGTGACTTTCAAAGTTTTGCCTTCGAAACATCATAACCAAAACAAAGTGCCAGTTCTAGTCAAATAGGTTCGTTCTCTAAGTACTGTGCTGTAGTTTTGCCAAATTTTAAATTTTAAACCACGGTCTAGCACCCTTGGACACACATTCAAACACATGAGCTATAACACTTCTTTACTATGTTGGGCAGCATGTAAGCCACTTGTCTAGAAATCTCCATTTCCGGTTCGCTTTTGCTTTATGGGACGTTTGAAAGCTTTTAGCACACAAGCTTACACACACACACACACACATCATTGCCACATTTGACCATTTTGCGATTATCAGTGAGGCCCGAAAGTAGAGAAAATGAGAGGGAGAAAAAAGAAAAAGGGATTGCGATGCGACATCGCCGCTAAAAGGGAACTTAGCGCAATTTGCGGCCATTTTAGAAATACCGCTTGCACTCAAACGTAACTATCCGCTTTATCCAAGCGAACGCTTTATTCTGCTCGACTCTACTTGTTTCCTTCTTTTCTTTTTCCATCAGATACTCGCCGCTAATGCAGCCCGTTTACATGAAGTTTCCCGTGGAGGGCGTGCAGTTGATCGATGATGGGAACGAATGCAATGAATCCTCTTGTCGTGTCGAACTGAATTTATTGGGAATCAAATCGACGGGCGTCTACAGGTGCGAAGTGTCCGGCGATGCGCCGCATTTCAAGCTAACAGAGCGCGCGGCCAACATGAGCGTGGAGGGTAAGTCAGCGCAGTGCCACGGGGGCGTATGAGTAATGAAATGCAATTTCAATTGTTTGTCTTAAATGAAAGTCGGTGGGTCGCTATGTGTATGTGTGCGAGTGTGTGTGTGTGAGTGAGTGAGTGGCAGTTGTGCAATACAAATATTATGCTGGCACTGCCTGTGTAGCAGAGCGGGCACGCCTGCTGCCCATAAACAGAGTTAAACGTGTAATTTCCGTGATATTTTAATAGTAAACAACACAAGATGAAGAAACAGCACGAAAAGCAACTGCAGCGAAGGAGCGGAGCAGGACGAGAAGGGAAGCTGCGGCAATGCCCCCTCGTTTGCATATGTATGCATACATGCTATATAAAAAGTAGCTCGCTGGCAAAGTGGCTGTTCGCTGCTCGTTGCTTGCTGCCGTTGGCCAAGCAGCCTTGCTACACGCACAGGATAAGCTGCGAACGCGCCAGGATGTGTGCTACCTACTGTTGTTGCTGTGCATGTCGTGGTCGGTGTTGTTATTGTTGTTGTTGTTGTTCGAAAGCAACGAAAGGAACACCAGCAGCCGTACGTTCATAAAATGTAACTAAGAGATGCATGTGATTCGCATCCGCACACAGCCAGCCCATGCCACAGCAGCGAGGCAGAAATGCACAGCTGCTCGATTTCGGTTCCTTCTAGTCAAAAGAACCAGTTAGAAAGCTTGGCATAAATATCACACTTGAATCGAGGTGCAAAACAAATTCCCCAGCTTAGAAGTGCTCTGGCTTTCAAAAGCAGAATTGTCATTGAAAATGCTTCATTCTTGTATACTACCTAGAGAGATATCTTTGGATATATTTTTGTACAACTGAGTGTTGAGCTGCGTGTATATACTTTTTTTTTGAGTTTGTGGTAAGTCTGCTGCTTCTGAAATAATGATATATTTCTTACCAACTCACCCAAAACTACACTCACTTGCTCTGTCTTTTTGTAGCCCTTTCTTCATTAAAAGCTTTGCTTTTAGTTTTCTTATAATTACTGTTTTGAGTCTGCCTTACAAATAAATATGTCTTTCCTCTCCAGGTGCTAAATGAATTCATAAGACTAGAACTTAACTGCTAGGACCTCGAACAGCTTGTTTTTTCGAGTTCCAATTTATTTTCAACTACTTTAATCAACTTAAGCTAAAGTCACTCAGAACTCTCCGTCTACAACAAATCTTGCTCTTTCTCTTTTTGAGCAGAAAATATATGCCTTTTTCTCGCAATCAATGAGGATATAGCTGGTCTGATTACGAATAAAATAAGTTGCTGAATGATGTGCTTTATAGATGAAGATAAAAATCATAAATAGTTGAATTTTGCAATCCTTGATCAGAAGTATTCTTTTCAAAGATATCATAAGCCTCGAACCAGGACCGTAAATGAGGATATAGCTGGTCTGATTACGAATAAAATAAGTTTCGGAATGATGTGTTGATCAGGAGTATTCTATTCAAAGATATCATAAGCCTCGAACCAGGACCCTAAATGAGGATTACAAATAAAATAAGTTGCTGAATGATGTACTTTACAGATGAAGATGACAATCATAAATAGTTGAATTTAACAATCCTTGATCAGGAGTTTTCTTTTCGAAGATATCATAAGCCTCGAACCAGGGCCCTAAATTCACACACTGAGCTTCAACGCGCAACTCTAGCGCAACCTAGCTACAAGGACGAGCGCACAGGAAGCGCGCTTACTTGCCTCAGCCTCAGCCTCAGTCTCAGCATGCATGTACGAGTATGTCGCTGTGTGGATGTGCGCCTCTGTGATTTACGGCAGCACTTTATGCTTAAAAAGGATATCGCTAAAATGAAAAGCTCCGCTGCCAAGTGCCACACATCGGGGTGTGTGTGTCTGCGTGTGTTTCGCGCTTTTACTTTTGCTCGCACACCCACCCACACACACACACACACACAAGCTCGCGTACACAGCAGGATGTTTTACGGCAACAACTGCACTGCATGTATTTTATGATCATCTATTTTTCCGCTGATATAAAATAAATATCTCGTAGATGTGCGATGCTTCCTCGGCTCCCATGGCTGCCGTTGCTCCCATTGCTGATTCTGCTTCCACTCTTGTTGAAATATTTTTAAAAATTTATCAAAAGCAAATAGAGCAAGTTGTAAAAACAAACAACGACAATAAGAGCAACAGCAGACCCAGCACTAAGGTGCACCATTTGCATGTGTGATGCGATACGATGCGTTGCGTTGCGTTGCGTAGTGAAGCGCACAGAAATTAGCTGATAAATGTCAAGTATACGCAGTGGAGAGTGGAAAGGACTCTATCCCCATTAGAAGTGCTTTTACGTTTACTCCATTAATGCTTAGCTTAACTACGATACAACACTAAATCCTTTAAAGTTGTGCCGACAATGTTGACTAAGCATTTTTGTGGCTCAGAAAATGCTTGTATAGGTTGAATTATTATTATAATTAGTGTGTTCGCAGAAAGGAAATAAAATAAGCCCACTTTTTTTAAAAATAAATTGTAATTCCTACCATCACATTTTAAAAGTAATTTGCTTCATAGATTTAAATTAAAAAATAGAAGCAACAATTTGTAGTTGGCAAGTATTCAACCAAACGGTAAGAGGCAGTTCTATCTGGTCTAAAAACAAGACATTAGAGTAAAAGTTAATAAATCAGCAAACATATGTATTTGTTCTGAGATTCCAATAAGTTCAACCATTTAGTTTTTGAAGCAGGAAACAAACGCAGAACTTTACGAAAAGTTATCTACTTGTATAAAGCTTTTTAAACTTTCTTTCACTTGTTCTTTATCAATCGATGTTTCTCCTTATATGTAGCTCTGCCGCAAAACAATCCGCTCATCAGCAGCTTCCACTCGATGTATCGTTTCGATGACTTCGTGCAGGTGAACTGCAGCACAGACTTCTCCAGCCTGGTGACCAAGCTCACCTGGTACATCAATGGTGTGCAGGTAAAGACTCATTAACTATCCCTCAACGAACTCACGCGCTTATTGCTTCCTTTTTTCGCATGGCAGGCCTCGTTTGTGGACCTGCAGCCAAGCATAGAGACCACCATAGCCGCACACGACTACAATTTGCGGCGCATAATATCGCAGTTGAACTTTTACGCGAACGAGCCCCGATTCCATCAGCAGCAATTACAGCAGTTGTTACAGCAACAGCAGCAACACAATCAGTTGCACCAACAACAACTGACCAAGCAACGACTGCGGATGCTGACGCCGCAGCGTTTGGGGCTCGAGCTGCGGTGCGTGGCCGAGATTGAAAGCTATCCGCAGCTGCAGCGGGAGACGAGCCTGAATGCGCTGCTCTTTCGCGATGACATTGATTTGAAAAATCAAAAGCTCATCAAGTCGGGTAGGTCTTAGTATATAGTGTATAGTTCATATTACGCATACGCCCTGTGTCCGCCTGCGTTAAAGTCCGGCCATGTCAGGCCACATTTGGCAGCAGCAGCAGCAGCAGCCGACTTAACATTTTTACAACCGCACTTAATGCACTCAACCGCAATTGCATTGACCGCAAATGCGCAGCCGCAGGCGAGCGCCTCGCGCCCACGCTAATTAAAAATAAATAAAATTTCAAACCGAGTGACAGGCGGGCGGGCACACAGGCCACACGAATACATGGCATACAAGCCAAGTGCCCGTCCGGCCGGGGCCCCAATTCAACAACAAAACAACAACAGCAACAACAAAAATAAATAAATAAAAATGCACACATGCAACTCACCTGGCCACTCCTCTGCTCTTTTTGTTGCAGTTGCCGCACCGAGCGTGTCGCTGCATGCTGCTCTGCTTCTGACCGCAGCGGCAGCAACAACAGCCACGGCAGCCACGGCAGCAGCGGCATTGGCTGGCGCCATCAGCACACGCCTACTGTTGATGCCTCTGACATTTCAATATGTCGCACGGAAGTCGACGCGTCACAAAATCAAAATGCCGTCATCAACAGCAACTGCAACTGCTGATAGTTTTGGTCCTCGTGCTGGTCCTGCAGTAACAACAGCAATCGAGAGCAGACGCCAGCTGCCGCTGTCAACAACTGTTGTTACGAGCACAGCCAACAATATGCCAACGCCTTCCACGTCACGGTAGTGTGGCCATCAAATCGGCCGAAATTATTATTTCACCTACAAACAAACATAACATATAGTATATAGAGTAAATACCCTCATACATGAATAGGCACACATACACATTAGAGACATGAATAAGTAAGTACAATACTACCAGTATATGTATTATTTTTGCTGTTTTGAGTAAAGCCATTTTATAGCTTTAAGCAACTGAAATGCACGTGAGAATTTACAAATTTGCATACACATTAAACAAAACATTAGCTTTAAGGCGAGCGCATTTGTAAATAGCCTACCCGTATGCAATAGCAATGAAAATAAACTTATCAATAAAGGTAAACAATTAACAAACCCCGCCATGGATATTCAATGAAAATTCAATTCAATTTTAGCTCAACATGTAGGCTCTTCTTCTTCGAAACTATTTATTTATTTCCAAATTTTCCATAATTTCCGAAGCAGATAATATCTTTTGGAGACGCATTCCGCTCTTCTAATTTGTAGATGCTGAGCCACTACATTATTTTATTTTTATTTAATGGTCAGCTATGCCCTACCTTGGCAGATAATTCTAATATGAATAATCAAATACAAATGAGGATACAACTATGCCCCAAACCTAATCTTTCAAGCTCAATGACAATGCTCTGAGAAAGGAAGAGTTCTAATATTTTAATGAATGCAGAAGCTCATGTTCTATTAAATTCAATTTACAACAGCTACAAATATTACTAAACTCGTAATTTAACATTAAATTTGAAAAGAATTCCTATAATTTATATTAAGCCTTTCAATTGATTGCAGCTACGACTATAGTATAATGGTGAGTACTTCGTTCTTGGACGGCCTGGAGTCGTGTTAACTATGGTTTTCCTTATGGCTGGGCTTAAGAGTCTTGGGGCAAGCAGTGGATTACATTAAAAATTAAAATGTAAATTGGATTCGAGTTACAACATCAGCATGTCGGCAAAAGAAAATCAATCTGAGCAAGCAATTGGCGGCCTTAACGAGCTACTAGCTGCCTGCCTCGACGTTGCAATGTGTCTGTAAATGATATGCAATGAGGGACGGGGGGGAGGGGGGTTGATGAGAACTACATTTCAGTGCTGTTGCTGTTGCAGTTGCACGCTTGGGCTGCAACAGCGCGTATATGCCATTAACACATGCTTCGAGCACCAACATACGAGTACAGTTAGCCCGATCTGGCGCATATAGTGCGCATTTTCACAGCCACAAACTTGCGTATGCAAAAAGAATTGGAATTGAATTCATCGAATTCGATTTAAAAACGGAATAAAAACGAGTCGGCCAAGTCGGGCCCAACCAGCGAACACGAGAGCGAGTACTTCAACGCGGACATAGATGGCAGACAGCACATCCATTTGCCAGGCCTTAACCGATCTGGCCAGGCCTGGCCTGTTCTGAAAAAATGCAAAACAAAAAGCCAACAACATATTTAAAGGCACTTTTGCGGTTGTAAAGTGGATGCGGCTATTTGCATCCGATGGGTGGGCGTATGGGTAGGCGTCTGCGATTGGGGACATGTTGGGTTACATTATAAGTAGACTTCATGGACATAATAAGCATTCAAACTAATGTGATTTAGTAATTAATTGAAATCGTATACAGTGAAAGCTCCCTTAACGGACACCTCTTGTAACCGAACACCCCTCTTAGGCGGACACTTTTTCTAGAACATTCGTTTTTGTGTACTTTTTAGAGCAAGTTCGCCTCTCTTGTGCGGACATTCTCTTGACCGGATGTGGACACTATTTTTCGAGAAATTAAAACTAAAGCTTCTCTTCGCGAACCTAAACACATCAAATTTTAAGGAAAAAACTTACACCAAGGTTTAAAATATAGTTGTGGGTTTATGTATATAAATGTATATAAACAAAGAACTATTAAATAGAGCTTGGATCTTCATTTCTATAATTTATTGTTATATGTAAGTATTTACATAAATCATAACGTATTTTTTTAAACTGAATAAAGTCAATTTATTTTAATGGCCTAAATAGGAAAACAATTAAAATAAGCCAAAAATGAAAACAATTTCTAAGTATCCCCTTAACCGGACACTCCCCTTGGCCGGATAAAAGTTGGTCGATGGTGAGTGTCTGGCCAAGAGAGGTTCAACTGTAGTTGGAATTTATAATTTGTTCCAGAACAGCTAACCATTGCCTTCAGCAACCTTTGATGTGTTTGACTATAAGAAATCATTGCATTATATATCATAGTTTTCTTTCGCAATTCATTGACCAACTTTTTTGACCATATTTGTAAGTGAAGAAGTGAAACAGAAAACTCATTTTAAAAACACTTCCCCACTTCTGCCACAAGCTGTGCTTTTCTGCTGTTATGATGGCCCGCTGTGTTGGTGCCCCATAATAGCCACTGAGGCGTAGCATGAAAGCCAAGTCTAAATCAGCTGAATGGCTGCTGAAGCAGCGATGATTGAAGCGTTGGCTATCTCAGCACACACACACACACACACACACACTACCACACACATGGACACTCAACACATTGTAGATATATAGTTTGTATGTGGCAATAAGTACATATAAAGATATAGGTTGAAAATTGTTCGAGCTGGCTGGGGAGCAGCAACAATACGAATAGGATGTGCTACTAGCATAGCAGTAAAAAGACTATTAAGCGATAATTTATTTGTAACCTGCGACGTGGTGGCCAGTCCGCTCCTGCTGTTCCTTCAACAGCAGCCTCTGCCGCTGCTGCCGCTGCTGCTGCATCAGCAGTCAACTGAAAAGGGGTTCAGTGCAGGACTCGTCTCGTGGGGCAATAAAAATAGCAATGGCTGCCACGCCAATGGGCAATGGGCTCTGGGCAATGGCCGGAGAAAATATTTAAAGACGTTGTTGGCCAGTTGCCTTCACTCCAGGGGCTATTTGCTGCAGCGTCTCGGCGACAACTACAAAGAAACCGAGGCGCTTGCAATGTTGCAGTTCCTTCGGATTGATGTTGCAGTGTGCCTCATGCTGCTAATGCTGTTAAGGTACAAATCACACTCAAGTCAGCAGACTATTAAGGCAAGATAATTTCTTCATTAAACCTTAGTCGAGTTTGCTGTTTTGCAAACACACTTAACCCTTATGGCCAGTAGGCCACACCCTTACTTTTATTTGATTTAAATATTGTAGATTCTTGCAAACATTTTCTGTAAAACGCGAAATGATTGCAGCCTAGCTTATCTTAGGATAATGACATTGTCAGGAAGACGAGAAGGAAGTATGTAGACTTCAAATGGTACTTTTTAAAAATCATGCCTATCCAGGACTTTTTTATGTAATGCTTAAATTTAAGGGGAATGTGTGTTTTTGTGAAGTTTCTTTATGTTTTTCCTTGCTAGTGGCGTGTCTCGAACCCTAACCACATGGGACATTACATTCCGACACCGGCCCGACGACTGTACACCTCGGGCAACCGCAGCTATATCCTGGACTGGATTGAAGATACAAGAAAACTGTGGCAAACCTGCACATAGTCTCTACATTCTTTATCAATAGTACGTCTATACAGCTTCATTTTCTGTTATTCGCTGAGTGATTCAATTTGAAAAGTCGTGCACTTTTAGGCTGCTGCAGTGCAGAAGAATTTCTCCAAATCCCCTTGCAACAAATTAAACAACAACAAGTGCCAATTACAATTGCTTAAATGTGCGCTGAGAAGAAGGGAGAAATGTGTGTACGAGTATATAGATAGCATCGCCAGAATTAAGTAATTTCTGCCAGACATGCTGCAGCCACAAATGCCAAATGAACACAAACCCACTTACTGAGGAGCTTTCCGAATGATGTGCCAAAGAAAGGAAAGGAAAGGAAAGAAAAGAAGAGGATAGGAGAGAAAAGAAAGCAGGCGAGTCGGGGGCAGACAATGGTGCGGAGAAAGCAGCAGCTGAAGGGAGACCCTCTAATGCACTCGTGTGTGCAATAAATTGGCATATCCTTGTGCACACACACACACACACACACACACACACACACAGACAAACAGCTTTAACTGCATCTCCCCGACAAACACACCAACACGCACATACTCGTATATAGTAGTAGCAATGCGTTTCGCGTGAGTGTTTGTGTGTCAGTGTTGGGCGACTGGCATCTTCTGCTGTATTATGCACAGGATGTGCATAAGAATGAAAATCCTTTTGCACTTAATGGCAACACGAAAAAGGCAGAAGCAGCACTGGCCACTCCATCCCTCCCCCTCATTGTCTGCTCTATGCGAGTGGCGTAATATTATTTTGTGGAAAATTTCTTATTTCACCGTTGAAGCTCATAAAATTTGCCGGTCTTTGTGGACGACTCAATGAACTCCGCCGGTCCGAGAATTCTCCAGCTCGCCACACGCCACCAACCGCAATTCCGCCAACGAGAAGGAGTTAGTTGCTCGCAATGCTGGCCGCTTTCGTCGGCCACATCGTTTTCTTAACCACTTTGAAGGCCATTAATTTGCAATGACCATGCCAAAACAGG